CAGTATTGTTAAGACCCTGTGAAAGTGGTGCTTTGGAGGCTTTTACAACCTATGAGGACACCTTAGACAGTGAGAAATACATTAACGCCTTTATTCGCTCACTCGACCGAGTCACGGATGAGCAGACACTGAAGCGGCTCAAAGACGTGTTGCGCAACCACTCAGACGCATTCGCATGGCGAAGTACCGACTTAGGTCGAACCAATCTCGTGAAACACCGTATCGACACCGGGGATGCAATCCCGATTAAAATTCCCGCAAGACGCATACCATTACATCGGCAGACTGAATTGCAAAAGCTCATAGATGAGATGCTAGAAAAGGAGGTAGTACGGCCCTCTACTTCACCATGGGCAGCCCCGGTTGTTCTAGTGAAGAAGAAGGATGGTGGTTTTCGCCTATGTGTCGACTATAGACGATTAAATGAGATTACTCGGAAAGACGCTTTTCCCCTACCCAGGATCGATGATCTATTTGACGCACTGGGAGGATCAGTTTATTTCAGTACGCTAGATTTGGCTTCCGGCTACTGGCAAGTAGAAGTGGAGGAAAGCGACATAGCAAAAACAGCGTTTGTAGTACCATCAGGTTTTTATGAGTTCCAGACCATGCCTTTTGGCCTCTCTAACGCCCCTGCGAATTTTCAACGCCTGATGCAAAAGTGTGACACGAATTGGTACCCCACAAGTGTCTCTTTTACCTGGATGATGCCATTGTACACGGAAAAACAAAAGATGAACACCTAAACAACTTGGCGGAGGTGCTAACGCGCCTAGTAAATGCGGGCCTCAAAATCCATCCAACAAAGCGCCATTTACTACAAACAGAGGTAACGTATCTTGGGCACATCATTTCGGGGATGGGGATTCGAAATGACCCTCGTAAGAAGGAGAAAGTGAGATTATGGCCAACCCCTGCCAACGTTGATGAACTACGCAGTTTTTTAGGGTTAGCCTCATACAATCGGCGATTCGTGAAAGGGTTCTCAGAGATCGCAGCGCCTTTGAATACTTTGTTACAGAAAGGTCAAGCCTTCGAATGGACCGTCGAGTGTCGAAATGCCTTCTATTGATTACGAGAATCCCTCTGTGCCGCTCCGGTGTTGGTTTTCCACAACCTGTCACCAAATGCCGGGGAGTTTATTCTAGACACGGACGCTAGCGACCAGGCTATTGGAGCTGTTTTGTCGCAGAAAGGGCAGGACCGACTAGAACGAGTGGTGTCTTACAGCAGTAAGAGTCTCAGTGCAAGAGAACGGAACTACTGCACAACCAGGAAGGAAATGCTAGCCCTAGTATTCTTTATACAACAAAACCAACACTACCTATTAGGAAGGAAGTTTCTGGTACGAACAGATCATCAGTCACTTCGCTGGTTACAGAATTTCAGAGACCCCGAGGGACAGATCGCCAGATGGCAGGAACAACTTCAGGAGTATGGTTTGGAGTGCCGACACCGACCTGGTGCATAGCATGCCAACGCGGACGCTCTCTCCAGACTTCCTACTCGTGCTCATGGAGACTGCCCGACTTGTATTACACAACACGTAGCTCTAGTTAACCTTCAAAGTTCGGAGTACGGTCGTTGGCAGGAGGCACAGGCGGCAGACCCAGACGTATCACCGATCTATGACAAACGACGATTGGGGAGCGACAAACCTACCGCAAAGGAAATGGAAGGAAAAAGTTACGAAGCTCGATGCTTATGGGCGATGTGGGACAAGCTCTCCATCGAGGAAGGCGTGTTAGTGTTTGATTTTGGCCCAAACTATGTCAGGAGAATCGTAGTTCCGCGATCATTAGTTTCCGAAGTGTTATCTGAACTGCACGAACAGCTGGGTCATGCTGGAATCAACAAACTTGAAGCGGCAGCACGTCAACGGTTTTGGTGGCCACATCGACGGAGAGACTTCACTAACTTTTGCCAGACGTGTGAGACATGCGCCACGTTCAAGAACCCGAGTATCACCTAGAGAGCACCATTGCAGCCTATGAATGCAGGCTACCCGAAGGAGATAGTGGGAGTAGATCTTGTTGGTCCCTTACCAGAAACATCACGTGGGCATCGGTACACCTTGGTCATGGTCGACTATTTCACTAAGTGGTGCGAAGCAGTTCCGATCGCACAAGCCGATACAGTCACCGTAACAACGGCGATGGTGAATCACTTGGTGTGTCACTGGAGAGCACCGGGGCAGCTACACTCTGATAGGGGCTCATGTTTCGAGAGTTTGTTGGTGCAGGAACTTTGTCGTGTGTTCGGTATAGACAAGACGCGAACGACGGCTTACCACCCGCAAGGCAACGGACAAGTTGAGCGTACAAATCGGTCGCTGAAATCGCTACTGAAGGCCTTTGTGGATCAAAATGTAAGTGAGTGGGACGCTATGTTACCAAAATGCTTGCTGGCATATCGGAGCACAGTGCACGCTTCTACTGGTCAAACACCATTTTTATGTGGACCGGAAGAGAAGTCCGATTACCGTCTGACATTCGACTACCCAGTCCGCAACAGCCACATTCATCGGTGACAGAGTATGTTAGCAAACTCCTTGATTCGCTTTATCAAACACATCAAGCGGCACGTGTTCATCTTGGGAACGCCCATCGACGACAGAAAGACTATTACGACAAGAAAGTTTTCGGCGCTCCTTTGAAGGCTGGCGACCAAGTTTACTTGCACCAGGTACCAACGGCAGGAGTTCCGGTTAAGCTACACCATGAGTGGACAGGGCCGTACATAATACAGCGGGTGATATCGGATGTGACATGTGTTATCAAAGATCCCAACAACCCTGCCAGTCAACCCATGATAGTACATTTCAATCGACTCAAGCCATTCCGGAGTAAAACTGACCAATCTGTCGGGGGCCGAACGAAACGCCTGGGGAAGTAGCAGTTGAACTGGAGGTGCCGGCTCAAGGCGGCTATGGTGTGGCAACGGGGACGCTGCCTGATTAGAGGGGGTGTGGTGTAGAGAAGAATCGAAACTGTTTTGGCGCGCGTCCAAAGTTGAATCGTTGCATTAACGGCACTCTCTCCCGTTTGCCTTTCAGAGCGCCTTTCCTGCTCAATTACCGGAGGAGAACAAGAACACGACGACATTGGTTAACTGTAACTTCCTTTGTTCCAATTCACCTCATGTTTATTACCTTTTGTAGAGGCTACGTGTTGTGTAATAGAACTTCGTTCTCAACCCTTGGAGTTCTTCTACGCTTGCGCTTTACACACTGCTTTTAAAACGTGCTCTGAGATGCTGCGCGTGCTAGGCGTGAATTAATCAAAGGCGCTTTTGTGACTTAGAAAACAATCGTCACGATCGACAAAAGGATCTAGCACTGGAACTACAACAGAAAGCAAATGCAAATGTTGCAATTTTTCAACGGAAATTATTACAGCTATTTACGGGACGGTATTCTGGTGACATCTCTACACCCGATGCTAATTTTTCCACCGACAAATTTGCCTTTTCCAATTTGCCATTTTAATCCGTCCGCGGTAGTTACTGTAAAAGGCTGAAAATGCACCTTTTCGGGTACATAAAGCTTATATTGACGACTTGGCCTGGTGCAGAATACGCTATCCCTGTCTGGCAGTCCTAGTACCAGTAAGCTTTCGCAGCATCTAAGACTCCACATTGAAGAGCCCCCAAGCACGTATAAGGTTGGTTCCAGCTTCCGCATCCACTTGGGTTGAGGACTATAAGATTGTACAGCGGTCAGTATCGGCGTCTACGTGGCGACCTAATGATGGCCTAGTATATTCTGAGAAATCCCGACCACGTCTCCCGCCACCGGCCGCAAACTAGCCTTAACGCTAGCCTGAGAAATCCCCAGACCAAGTTGACCACGCAATATATCTGGCTAGAATGTTGACGAAACATCTACTCCGTCCACGTGTGTCAGCCTTGGAATGCTCTCCAAAATTACGTCGCTATCGTCCCCACATTGTGTTTAAAAAACGCCCTGACGTTGCTCTAACTCACGTACACTACGAGATATAGCCAGCATTTAGAAACGGAGCATTTAACGTGAAAACGGCGCGTCAACCACCGTTTCTCTACATAATCAAGGTGGACTATCTTACACCTGTCTCAATGTGAACACTGTGGGGAGAACACCCAAACCCTTTTTCTTTTATCGTCATTTTTCTTTCAGTTTGTGGTTCTCGTTCTGGTCATCCCACTGGACCTGTGCAGCACTTGCTTTTTTACCCATAATACATTGTTAGATTATACGTCGAATACATAGTGTTTTGGTCCGTAGGTGCTCGAGTTCTGCGGCACTGTCATGAAAACTGATGGCAGCGGAAATCAAAGACTGTATTTCTTCTATGGCGTTGCTGGCGATTTGTGGTGCCAAGGTCCTGATTCGATATGTCACGGTACACCCTCTGGACTGTCTGCTACGAAGTACTCAGCTAGGTTTGTTTTGTCAAGTGGCTCGCATGGATGGTGAGTGCCTATCTCGGGGCGCATGGTTTCGTCAATACCACGCCTAGTTTAATGGAACATTAGGACAGGGCCTACGACATTCCATGAAGGCATTGGGAAGTTGATCTAAAACTCGATCATATCGACGTGTGCCGACTTCCTAAACAGAGGGCTCAAGATGTGTTATATCAGTGGCTAATGGCTTGGTTCCACGTGCTGTGGTGAAGAAAACCGCGGCCCAGTTACAGTCGATCACTTGCTAACCTACTTACTCGATGACAACGATTTTCGGACGCTTCTTCGTCCTATCTCATTTCGCGTCCTTTCTGCTAGTTCTAGTGTTTATCCCCGTGGTAACGGGAGACGTGGCAGCTGGAACCATCACAATTCCTAGTCAGAAATATGGTAGATTGTTTGAAATGAAATGCACCTGAAACCCTGGGACAGGCAGAAGTGATACCATTTATGTGGACAAACCTGGCAGAGCATTCCAAAGGAGACCTCAAACGTGCATCAGTTACGGTAGGTAGTATCGAATCACCCGAAACGCAATGGAGAACACAGGGAAAACAGGATGGTTGAAAACTCAGGTGTAAACTGAATGATATGTACATTTCTGAGGTTGTACAGCTGCTTTCGAAGCCTTAAATTAAGTTGAAAAAAACGACACTGTTCGCTATGGGTAAGACATCGGCGACCATAGTCACGAGACAACATAGCCAAAACAGGCGAGTGGAATTTTGCTAAAATAGACCAAAAACAACAAATGCTGTGGGTCGATGATCACAGTCATCGGGAAAAATTCTTCCGTGAAGGCGTGTCACTGGTTATCTCTTGGGGAAGTGGGCAATATTCTCCACGCAACACGTTTAATGCAATGGACAGCCGCATCCGCTCAAAATGAGAGAAGTCCGTGGCACAGTGTAACACGTTGCAAGATCGACGTGTGCGGCGAACTATCTGGACAAAGAATTGTTTCAAACTTGACTACAAAGTCGTGATTCATGACTCGCATCGGACAGAAGTTCGGGACAAAGCAATAGGGGAAATTGTTCGGAAGTGGAACACTGGCAACCATTACTTGCATCTCCTATCATTTCATCTGTTGATATGAGCATAGTTCGAAGAGCGGACTCTGAGATTAGGTTTTGCGATGGGCACAGCTTTCCACCCATATTCCCTGCGAAGCTGGAGGTGTGGGTGGAGTAGATGGAATCGTTCATTGATGGATTGGCCATGGACGAAGTAGCGGCAGATACTTGCAATGTTCGGGAGACTTGGTTATTTGCTTGGTTCAATCTTTGTACGGGTATGCTTGAACACACTGATGTAGGGAAAGCGTTGTCATAAGGACCGCTTCCAAAAGTCTTAGTCAGCTGCGCCGGTTCCGTGCTTACTGAGTTTTGATGTTCCAGTTTCAAATTGTCAATACCACTGTCATCTGACGAGTTGTTCTGTGAGCCAATTTCACTTACGGCGGGAGATACATCAGGTACCAGTTCAATGTTTCTTCTAAAAGAGACACGCTGTCCGCACTGGTTCGCAGCGGTAGCGGGAATTAATGGTCCGCTGGACGGCTTCAACGTGGGCTGACTACGATTGCAGGTGTCACCACGGAACGGACCATTTGTGGATGATGATTGCTGCGTGTCATTTGGAGTTAGCACGCGATCGCATGCGGTCATGGTGTATTGTGATGATGAAATCGGCTGATAACTGCTCTGCAAATTGCACGGCCGTAGTGAGTTGGATTGGTAAGTGATGCCATCTTGCGCCCCAGTGTGATGCTGGGCTGAAACATTGCAAGAACCGGTAGGTGGGTTAGACATACTGATGTGATATCATTCATTCAATCGAAACAGCGGTAGTTAGCAGGATAAAGATTGTAATCGTTAAGTGCCTCTATCACGCGCCTAATACAAAGAGTCTATAAATAAGACTGGTATTGATGATGGGGTATGTCGGAAAGGTTAAACCAATGGACTAGAAATCATATACTCCGAAAAGAGCGTAGGTAACACATGGATGCTACCCAGAAACCCAATGGTAATCTTGCAGGTGATGTCTTTCAGTTCACAGAGGTAGACCCCAAGGTACCCAGTAAAGTTACTGCTCGGCTAATTGTACCATGTAACTGGATAAGCAGGGAAGTTAGGTGACGAAAAAGTACAGTAACTAGTGGTTCGGAATCGAGTACTATGAAATCACAACAATGTGCAGAGCCCTTGAAGCAAATGAACCGAGCGTTCCACCTACATGCAACGTAGTGTACGTACGTAGTATGGAGTTGTACCAAACGGCTTGAGTAGTTGAAGTGGAAACTTTCGGTGTTAATCACCCTCCCTCCACGCTGTCTGCACAGTGGGTTCCGCCATCATTTTGACGCTTCAGGTAGATATAGCCTGAGTCATTGGGCGTACAGAGCTCAGCCCCATGCTGTCAAGGTGTTCGTCGGTAACCATTCTCGGCTCAGGTCATCTGTGTCTGAGGAGTCCAACTAACGACGACACCAGTTGCGGAGTGCAGTGTTTGGAGAAAGCCGCGCCGAAACTCTCTAGTTCGGAAGCTGTCTCAGTGATCGAGATGACCGAAGTCTGCTTCGATGTAAACCATGGTCCCAACTGAGATTACGTGCAGCAGACCAAAAACACAGCGAGCACTCAAAAACTGAATAATGGCTTTAGTAATTGGTGACTTCAGTTCATCACAGAATGGATTCCAAATAATAGGAATATTTGGCAAATGTGTCTCAAGCAGTAGTAGCTTACCAAATGAATACGCGGTGTTGGTGGAGTGTTGTTCTTGTTTGGAAGCGGTGGACGAAATCACAGAAGTAGAGTCCACGGTGATTTCGGGGGCACTGCTTTCAGGACATCCGAAGGACACTTGAGAATGGGTGGGCATGGATTGGTATGGTATGCGCACTACACACTGAGGACCCGTTTGTGACAACTGTGCAAACATGCCTTCCGCATCAGTCGGGATTAGTGCATCGGGATTCGATGGGTTCCATCCGGCGGAGGGGAACGCACTATGCAAACAAACATAGTTGCTTCCACCTGAAAGGAGACCAAATGAGATGGCGCCTGAAAAAGCACGACATCGAGAGAATTCGTGGTAAGAGAACAAGGAATAATCAAGTTGGTTCCGATGCCTTGATATACTTTAGTCTTTCTTGCAAAAGAGCTAGGTGTACAAATGGTTTCCCAATTGTACACCGCAGCCAGAATTAAGAAGTAGAAGCGAAGATTCGGTTGTATGACTGGTCGGTAAACTTGGTGAAACCGCAAATGTATCGACCTGCTGGTTAATTGCGGTTAGCTATCCGTAAGAAGTCCTACGCGCGAGAAACAATGGTAAGAAATTGGCCATTCTGCTGGTGGAATTTGACCAATCAGCGGCAAATGTATGGAGTCTTGATCTGTGGACAGGAGTACATATGCAGTTTGGACGAAAAACTTCCGTGATCTGGCATTTATTTAAAGGGTTGGAACAATCGGTGATCAACCTGCAGCAGGTTGCAATATTGTTGACGACAAAGAATTCTGGAATCTAGATCTGGGCTTGCAGTGGTCTTTACACCTTTGGATCAAGTAAACCGTACACAACCTAGCTGCCAAATACTCCTGGCGCAAAAGTGACAGGAGCCAGTTTGTTATTTAGTCCTCTAGCAAGAAGAGTTGGGACAACAATATTGCAAGCCACAGGTTAATTGCACAGTGGTGAAAACGCAATCCACTGCAATTAAATATTGGTAATGTCGGGACAAGAGTTTCAGAACGATTACGAACCACACATGGATGAGTGTTCAATCCAATCGTCTAGAGGAGCAGTTTTCACACAGCGTGCACGTCAGTCATTGGACAAATCCAGAATCCGTACGCAGACATGGACTGGTAGGTCAAACTGAAAGAAAATCTCGAAACACCTTGGGTCGTAAACGTCAGTTATTTAAAGACCAGCAGTTTATTTAGCAAAGGAAAATGTGCAGAACTGACAGCACATCTGAACACCAAAAAGCTTCGGTATGTTTTACTCGTCCGCCTCCATTAACAGAGACATCATTGGGTGGAGGATGTCAATCTTTGACTCAGTTACACAAACGACGGTGAACTTACCCGGACGTCAATCAATCAGATGAGGTGCGTAGACGGGCGTCTATGCCTTCTCCTCCAATGATCGAATTCGTCAGGCTCCTCTCCCTGTGGCTGTGGTTCGTTCCTTGGGTCCATTTGTCCACTCTGACTAGATGAGCCCATCACGCCCACTAAATAGCTCGCCACTGTTAATCCGTTGTTTGTTCACATACAACTTCCAAGGAGTGATCGTCGATGGCACACATCATTCGGAAAACTGGAGCATTAACTGACCCCCAGTCAATTTAGTTAAATATTTTATTCAAACACTCTAGCGACCTTGATTTCAAATTCTTTGACTTTGGATTTGTTTATGTGCCAAACCTAGTCCCTGGTAAGGACTGAACTGTCGAAGCCAAATGGTAAAATAGCGAGTGTTAGGCGAAATTTATCCAACGCGTAAGTGTCTGGTACATAAGTAATCACCCCACCTCTTTATCTGTAAGTGTTGTGCACGCAGCAATTTGGACACTGTTTGAAGCCCACATAGTCCATTCAATAGCGATAATATACATCCACATTCGAACTGACTTTTTCATTTTATTTGACATGACAATTCCCCACTTGACCTTCGTGTGTACTACCAAGTGGCGCATTTTTGGACGACGCAGTAACAGCACACTCAGTCATGTCCCGCTGCTGACAGCGTCCGCAAAGTGAACAGTGACTGTCCCACTGATGAAATTGCACCGCGTGGGCCGGTGATTACGTGTGCAATCTATCACAGTAAGTAAACAATCGACCCATTGCGGGAAAATGATTCATCCCCACACTGGTTCTCGTGGATGAACTACGGTGAGAATTACAGCCCCGTAGAGTGGACAATCGGCGTCTCCTCCCACTGAGGACAGTCAGGTCTAGCTGAATGCGGTGCCACGTTCGAATGCTGCCTCGGTCATATCGCTGGTGAAATCGCGACAACCGAGGTAACCATGTGTTTCCGGCGAAGTAAAATATCACGTTGCGTATTCTGTTCAATGAGAAAATTCGCACACGCTGAAGAACACGTTGTCTCGCCAATAGCGCGTTTGTGTCGATTGTGGAAGGATACAAGGGCAGTCACAATGTCAGATAACAAGTTAGGCTATTCAGCAGACTGCATACCGAGAAACTGCCTTTCGCCTCAACTACCCAACTGAACTATCCAACAGCCGTCAGTAAAACGTCGATGTTGCGTATACCAAGGTTAAGGAATCAAACAATGAACATATAGATGCTCCGATTAGGTCTGAGAAGAGGACTTGGATTGAGTTTGTTGGAGACAGTTAGGGGGGTTCCACCACAAAATCTTCGCAAACGCGTGGCCATTTATTCGTCAAAACATCGAACCCCTATGCAGCGGTTATCCCGTTAAGAGACTAGAATCATTAACCGGTGAACTATCACTCAGATCGCTTCAACTAGTTTATGGTGATAGGCGGGACAAGTGAGGGTGTTGAGGTCGTACGGTTTAGGGGTCGTCAGTTAACAAGACCCGAATACCATGAAGGCCTGTATCAGGTATCGCAAGCCACGGTGGTTCAACTGGAAGTGAGCGCACTCATAAAGCCATCAAGTACACTCCACGTACACAACGGGTATAACACACCATAAAGATTAACTTCACTGTGAATTTCATTGGCCACCCAATCCTTGTACGTAGCTGCGGCCACAGCGAACAAGTCGACGGTAGCAAAACCATGGACTTATCCGCAACGGTCATTGAGCAGACTACCTTGAAGTGTCTGTTCCGGACCCTGAAAGAGTGTCACGTCCCAGCTGCCACAAGCCCAGCCTCACAACGGTGGTTGAGTGGTTACTCCCCCGTAGACATTCGGGGGCAAATTCGACTTAGTCTCACACATTTGTCAGTGTATGAATGAAGCATAGCTTCCTCGGATAGTTCCTGATAGAATTTTTGTGAACTAGTTCCATTCGTTCGTCATGTCGAACAACTCAGGCACATTAGTTGATCGTTTGCTGTAGCCACTAGTTGCGAAGGTGTCCCTCAGGCACAGTGGACGGTTTATTAGTGGTATGTGTGGACTGCAGAGCGGGGAGAGGCATCGTCGTGACATTCGTGTCAATGATCCGTCGGAAGGCGAAACTAGTGCTATTTACGTCCTCAAGAGACCCATTTCACACCCGGGATGTTATTTGCATACTGAAAAGATTGCATACCGGCATTCTAGTCTTCACCCCACAGAACCGTAGTTGAGAAGCTTTTTGACCACCGACTAGTGAGTCCCCGGTTGGATGTGGGGGAGTTCAGTGAAGACCCTAGTGAAGACAATAGGCTATACAGCGACACTTGTCTATCCATGTATAAGCCGAAGTGCGAAACCAGTTTGACGCGTTTTTTGACTCTGCGTTGGTCGACGCACGTCGTGTTTAGATACCCGACGGTGCGCATGAAGCACAACTCAATAAATGATTGAATACAGTGACTCAGTTCCCCTTGGCAGGAAGTGTACTACCTGAGTCATTTGGATAATATACGCGAGCATTTACCACATTGCTTCCGCAAATACCTAAGCGATTTTTCACAAGGGGCAGCCGTAGGTCGGAGTACAAGTGCCCGTAGTGGGGTGGAGTGGAGTGTGTCCGCTTGGGTTGAACGGCGGTGCAGTCCTTGCTGTTGTTTGGTCCGCATGTAGACCGAAAAAAGTGCAATTCCGAATTGACCAGGAACTTACAAAAAACACTCACTGAGGAGCGTGTGAATAGTTGTCATCATGTTGAAGGACGCCCGCGTTTTCCTACGTAAATGTCGGCAAACCGGTTGGTGTATGAACGAAGGCCGTCGTCTTCAAGCGCCGCCATAGCCTTGCTGCGTCTCGATGTAATTATACCGGCGATCCAATTCTCGTCTTGATAGTCCACTAATGCATTCTCTAATGATGCACTAATGCTGTATTTGCTGTGTTGTTGGTCATCAAATAATGACCTTGCGTGATTGTTTTGGCGCTCATTGAACAATTGGGCTGATGCGGACATTCTACTCCGGCGTCGCAGTACGATAGTAGTTTCAATAGGCCAACGAAAAACGGCGTGCACGCGATCTCAGAGAGCAGCGGTGAGATTAGTCAAGTATTCACCTTGGGCGATGTTGAGGGTCATTTTGGAGTACAGGCTATGTGGATGGATTGCGACACGTAATCTCAATGTTGACCGCGATGACCGTTGAAGTGAACCTTGCGGTGATGTTGGACACAGCTATGCCAGAGAGCAGTTTGCCACACACACACACACACACCCGACTGGTCGTTGAAGGCAAGGTGAATGACATACGGAATTGCAACGGAAAGTTTCCAGAAAACGCGACCAATGGCCGCATAACGTCGTCAGTTGTAACCCCACGAGGACGGTGGAACCTAATTGGGAACAAGAAATACACGAAAGCCAGTGGCTACTGAGTGTGCCTGGGATCATGCCGACCACTGGAGTGTGAAGGTGGATACTTCCGTGGCTGGCACGATTCGTTCAGGTCACGTAGCCAAGCCCGACTCGACTGCACTTACTTTAATACACAGTATTGGTAAGTGTAGCGTAGAATTGTCACTTGCAGAGTGAAGCGGCGTCACAGTGGATAAATGCCATGGTGTGTGTCGAATGGATAGATGAAACACTACTTCCAGCGCATGCCCGGGAGTATGGTGGTCAACTGACGAGCCTAGTTGCAGCGAGGCCTCCGAAACTGAGATCCGGAGACGTTCACAGGTCAGTTGCCCCCTTTGCGGTGGTCACGCGGTGTGGCAACAAACGGACACCTACCGGTGCCTGACAATCGTTCATGTTGGTACGCGTTGCAGTAATGTGAGTGAAGTGGTGAGAATCCTGTTTATACACTGCTCGAAAACACTGCGTTGGTCGTCATGTGTTCTTCTCATTCGCCTTACGTTCTGGCAGGCAACACCATTGTCGAAACAAGCTGATGGAGTGACAGCTCCGATTGATCCGTTCCTGTTTCTAGTTTATCTGGGACTGAAATAAATTCATTAGCTAAAAGCCACTTGTTGGTCGTCAAATGAATTAATTTGAAATCTGGGCATCAAAAAGCTCGCATTTGAACAGTTGCAATGGAAACGCACGTCTCGGTGACAAATTGTACCTTGTGAAGGTTAAAATCAGTTTGGCGAATCACGATCAACCAACAGTCCAACGACCACCGATACTCCCCGCCATTGCCTATGTAATCAAATCCCCATAAAACCGGCACGAAACGGTAATTAGCAAGTGTTGTGACAAAGTACTTTTCTTTGTAGGTTGACGAAGTCCGATGCATACCGCACAACATGGTACATGACGGTGAATATCGAAGGGAATTAATCGATATATGTTTAGCTATCTTTCGACCAGTATCGCCAAGAAATGGTGACAGGGTGGTGCCATTGTAGGCCTGTTCCTACAACCATCGTGGCGCCAAATTAAAAATTTGTGGATGGAGTTTCCTTTCTCCTTGTTCATTCATCTGTACTGGAAAAATCATGATCCACGCTTAATTCAGCCGTTGCTCGCGGCACTGACAAAGTGCTATAAAAATTGGGTGGGGCGCGCCAAAAGGAACTCCCCACCCCTCGTGTTTCAAGGGGAATGGGCATAAGTGATACTTTGTCTTCATGTTTAGGATGCAGGGCGATGTGATAGGTTTGTACTTGCAGTAAAACTGCTGACTGGAGCAGAAAGGATTTACGTGACGAGTCGTATGTTAAACGGTTTCTCTCACCCAGAACCCAGTTCATGTGGAGAGCCATGTCGATTCGGAAATTAGACCTACCGGCAGTATGTCACACTTGAAAGGGTTTTGTTCCCGTTTGCGGAAACCAACCTTGTAGATCAAAGTACCGGTTCCGCTGTAACTTTCGATCAGATATTTGTCTCATTCATAATGACAACTAGAGTTCCTAAGACATCAGTCGATAATTTTTTGTTAGACACAGTTCCCGGCACACTAGTCAAAGACTTCCATAACCTAAGCCAATGGGTGAACGGAACAACTATCATGCGCGTTCCACAGTTTTGTCGCCTTGTATGAACCCTGACAGCGAGCGAAATTGGTGTTCAAGTCCGAATTTCATTTCACACCCTATATACTGAGTACCCAGACAGAAGTGAGAGATCTCTCCCCTCTCCGGATTGTAACTCCTAGTCTTTACGTTTAGGTTCTAACAGAGACGGTTGTTGTCAGTCTGCATTTCTCTTACTCTTAAGGGTTTAGTTTCGGGAACTGGGGATAGCGTGCGGAACAACGTGATGGCTAAATCGATCAGCAGGAGCACCGGCGTGCATCATGCGCCACACATGGGCGCGACACAGTAACCCATTCGATCGCTCGCCTTCTTCACCTTGGAAAAAAACGAGTAGCGGCTTTCGCGTTCTACACGAGAGACATGCACTGGCCACGACTGATAATGATCGGTCTGAAGTGTCGACAGATAACGGAGGATCGGTGCAAACCAATCGCCGAGGGGAATGCAACCAACGGGTAAGGCAGGAATTTCCCTAGCACTGGTCTGATCACAACGTCCTCTCGAGCTATATGCCCTACGGAACTATGGTTTAGCTGGAAGGGTACGAGTCGCTGAATAGTTGTGAAAATCCTTTCAGTGGGTTTTGACAGGAACCCCACCAGGCATTACTGTTGTTTTTGCTTGCATTCCGAAGAATAGTTAATTTTGGTGAGTAGATAGATAGCTGTTGTCCCACTTCCATCGTGTACACATGAGCAGTTGACAGCAATCGCAAACTTCGTACTGTCACCTCGTGTCATCAAATGGTATACATAACTGGTGCGAATGTGGTGTGTAACGAGCGACTGACTGGTTCTGCGTTTGCTGACAAGTGCCGTGAACTTATCCATGTGCAGTCAACCTTTCATCCTCATTCCAGGTGATCTAACTCTCACCACCCCAATGAAAGATGGTGCATACAGGAGTGGGGTTCGTTCACTGCTCTATCGATCAACAAGGCAAAAATAACGGAAATCGTGAACAAGATCCTCGTTAAACATGCAGCTGCGTCAGTTTGGAGTGATCAGCACAGCGCGCTCGCTGTTTAAGGTATATATAGTCCAACTGGAAGAGTTAGCTGAGTGTGGTCAGATTAAGAGGATCCGCTGGATACTTCGAAGTAACAAATATCAATCCAAATATCCCGTGGTTTGTGGTTTAAACACTAGCCCTTTTCTCGGAACGCAGTGCGCCACCTCGGTGGACCATGATTCAGGCATGGGGTGGGCTGTGATCATCCAGAAGACGAGGCGGAGTTTACACAGGCGTTGATGGTCCGGTACGATCAGCCTGGAGTTGGCAGTTATGTGACGAATGTGATCAAGTAACTTCCGGGCGGCGGGATGTGTTCAACCAATGATGCTGAATAACAACAAAAATGATCGTGGAGAGCAGGTTTGGGAGCAAGTGTCATCAACTTACACCCTTACGAAGAAGATTCGACGGGAAATTGTGACATCTTAAATGTTTGCAAAAATAGGCGCACTTTATTTTGCCGCGGCAAACAAGTGACCAAACGCATCGAGATTTGCGTGAAATTGCAAACCAGTTTCTGCCACAACAACGGCTATTAAGCGCGTTGAAAATCATTACTCGCTTTCTGAGCACTGGTTCAAAAACAAGGACAAGCTAGGGAAACTCCTACTGTATGTTTCTATTGCCGATGAACTCACTTCGCATGCTGCTGCTGGCCTCGGCATCGTCCGCGCACTGATCATGACCCGTTCCCATACCGATTGGACGCGGTGATAGGCCGTTTGTAACTGTGGGCTCCATATTGTGTGCAACGCGAATTCCGCATGGGATCACACCGGGAATCCCGCCATGATACGAGCCGTGGTAGCAAGCATAGGTTGGACTGGCCGGAACACCGGTGTGTGCAATAGATCCGCCACTTGGAATGAAGCAATTTCCGCTTAGTGTAAGCGGCCCAGCACTTGGGTAGAGTGGCTGAGTTGTGAACAAGCGGCCAGCAGGATCCGTTCGGTTGCCCAATCCGGTTGGATGTGCTGCGGAGTTGCTACCCATCATTATGGGGCTTAGGACGGAGCCATTCGCTGTGGGTTGGAAATTTGGTACCATGCCTGATTCGGAGTGCAGCACTGGTCCAACCGTGGTATGGACATAAGGGTTGACCTGTGAAGTGTGAGAGACATAAAAGTGGCAAGATTACCGGACAAAATGAGAACGCAAAAACGCCACAAGCATCAAGAACATTTAAAAAAGTCAATCGCAACAACGGAAACCGATCTGCAAACGGGAAGACATGTGTAGATCGCTCGACGCACGCAACAGCCCGATCACTGCCCCTCAAACGCTTTCTACCTGACACAACAATCACCCCAGGTTATCCTCAGGAGTGATACCGATCCGGTGAGACGCGTATTGACAAGTTGACATGATAGTGCTGCATGATCTACGGTGAAAAGTAGTTCGCCACCTAGCCTCTAATGTCCGCTCAATTTAGAAGTATCGATCAGGAGGGGACGAACATGGTGGTACCACCACAGACAATCGGATGACGGTAAATCGTTCAACCTGCTTGGCAATGTACTTAGGATACATCCATGGCTCAACATGATGAACAGAACAATAGTGAAAATGGGCAGGTAAATAAGTGAGTGACAGTCTGTTCTCAGCTGATGAAGAATACAAACTTACAACTGAGCGAGGCACTGCGCGATCTTCACCGAACTAACAACGTAGCAGCTAACTATAGTATGTGGCACCTCCCTTCACCAAGAAAGACGGGGGATGTGGTGATGAGGAGTCCTTACATCGTGCGGAGGGGACAGTGTGATGTTGTACTAAATAGCATTTGTTATCCGCTGTTCGACCAAGAGGAAACGATTTGCATCAGTGATACACTAGAAGCGGTGATTTAGATGAACACGGTGCACGGTGTAACCGGCTCTTGTCCCCATGCAAACTGCGCGACCATGCCATCTCCGATTAAAAGCAGTAAACTTTCAGAATGTTGCATACGAGTTCCAATAGACCACTAAATTTAATTCCATAAACGCTTAACGCTGCCTGGTTGCCACCTTAACGGTCTTGTTATATGAACGTCGTACCACGAGGGGGCGACGGAAACGGTCCGTTCAACTAAAACACAAGCTACGCGAACTGTTGCACTAGAGGTTAAGGTCGCCATAAAAATTAAATTCAGCTACACCAGTCGGTATGAGAAGACACGGAAATCGGTCGCACATAGCTCTACCATTTCCACGGAAGCGCTGGTTCTTAGGTAGTCCAGTGACCATATCCGCTACCCGGGTAGACACTGTTATGAGCCCACGTTGCTAACTTAGAGTTTACAGTTATTACGAACTTGAATCATACGTTCTGTTAAGAGCTGAGAGAGAGCGAAGTTCACAGACCAGCCTGCCCGAGCAGCTAGTTCGGTAGGTTTTACAGTGGATGCTTACTAAAGGACATCTTTTCAGGTAGAGTATTTTATTTACGCAAGCTGCTAAGTTGTCATTGGGCCCTACGCCGTCCGAAGGTGCGGTGACTAGCAGGGAATATAATTCAGCGAAACACACTGGGTAAAATACCTGGTGGAAATGGCCAACTTTTGTGGGGCTTAGGCTGCAGGCGAAGCGCTCTGGTGGCACGTGAAATGGGGTATGAGGAACACCTGAAGCGTTCATTCGCGCCACCACTCAAATGCTTTCATTACGGTCTCGACAAGACAGTATTCGATCGCCGGGTTGAGTTGGCCGACAAGTTTACCGTCAGTTATCAGCCATAACTGCGGCCCTAAGTAATGCACAAGGACGGTATACTTCTCACTTGCACCGCGAAAACCCACAGTTGGAACAAGTTCTAAAACCTTGAAATAAAAGCGGTCCTGTGGGTGAGTTGTGCCACTAGCGAGCTGGGGACACACTCGGCTGAACTCCGCAACTCACTCAGATAGGCCGGTTCAACTGCCTTAACAGTACACCGGCAGTACCGCCTAACTGCCTACTGCAGTAATCGTAAAGGCAGAGATGATGAACTTATTGAAAACGTAGATAACTATGGAGTTATTGAAACCGGAACGGTAAGTAAAACAATGGCCTCACTTTAGTCAGCAGTATGGTGTCGAGTTGATCTATCTATGTTCACAAGAGGCAATCAATGCAAGACTTGGCAGTAGCAAGTTATCTAACTCCAAAAATGTTTTCGAAAATGGCCGGAGGGCTATCTTGTTGACCCGGTTTCCATGAGAACGCAATCCCCGAAGTGGCTAACTGGCTTAACAATTCTAGCACGCCAAACTTTAAGAACGCAAGGTAAAGGGAAGGTCAGACACATAATGGCACCAACTACCTCGAAGTTAAGAGGTGGCGCCGGAGAACAAGGAAGGGGACGATCATTGTTCTCCACGCAAAAGAGCTAAAAGGTGAATGTGGAGAAAGTGAGCCCCGTGCAGACAAGAACCAAAAATCCCTTAATTGAATTGATAAGGTAGGTTTTTCAAATTCTGAATGTCATACAAGATGTCTACTCAATGTTAGCGGACGACACGAACGCTCTCCCAACAAGTGAAATAAATAAATCAGCGGAACAAGTGAAATACCGCAACAATACTCCAAGTAGAGTGAGCAGGGGCATACGGTACATGTCCGGAAGCCGGATTTTTCCGATCATATGATCCGATGAGTCCAAACAACGAAACCGTCGGTTGCGCGGTGTCAGTATTGGGAAGGACAACACCGGATCACCTGCAACTCAGTGAATATACAATGTCGGTTCAATTTTTGCTAGCTGATTCCTTGAGGAGATTTATTGGGGGTTTAATTAGACGTTTACGTACAGATGTTCATGTGCCTCAACACCTAGCAATCCCGTGTGAAATTCCAGGTGAATCGCCAAAACGAAAGTGAACCGTGTTATAGCAGCACTGTGAACAGTCCTTTGTAACGAACAGTTCAGCAAGCGGGTCTTCTATCGGCCCAAATTAGCAAATCGACTGTGCTAATCACTTGAGTCGAGTATGAAGTGCAAAACTGCATGACATATCTGAAATTCAGCTTACTTATGAACGGTCTTGGGCAGTTCAACAATGATAGACAGCTGTGCAATCGTAAAGTGATTGGAGATACACTGATGTTTGTGGGGTGACTTGATGACTCCGTCAGAACGTTGAGTGAAAAGGTCATGGAATAACTCTTTTCTTGAAGCACGAAACTGGAGGTTCACTAAAAACGCACGTCGCAGCCACCACAAAATGGCAAACGCAAGAGAGCTAAACGCCCTTAATATGAAGCTTTTGGTTGTAATACCTTATAGCTAATCAGGAAAAACGCTGGTTTGGCAGTACAATCTGCAAGGACCCGTTAGCTTTTCCTGTTCCCTGCCCATCCTGAGCTATCACTCGTCCAATGTTTCGCCTACAGCGTACAGCAATGAACGGGTGCGCTATGGCCACTAACGTTGCGGTAATAGGCTAACTCCGGAAGAGGATAGACAGACAAACAACATTGGTCATCGGGCCAACAGAAGCATGGGCGTGATTTGAGAGTGGGATACGTCACTAGCTCCGCACAACCCCGTCGGTTGTGATGACTCATCACTGGACTGACAAAGCGAGCTGAGGCGGTAGGGCGTTTGAATTGTCCTTGAGGCACGCGCGCGATTGAGGAAAACCGGAGTATACTAACGACTTAGCCGCATGTGCCAACAGACTAAGCACCTGAGTCTCCAGTGAAGAGGGTACTACAGTCTGGTTTGCATAGGAGCCGGGATGGTGTGATTCGGGGGATTTACAAGGTGAGAAAAGGAGAGAGTGGGGACAAAAAACAAACCATCTGCCAGCTATTTGCTATTTGAGTTTGGTGGTGCCCACTAGGGTTTGAGTCTGAGACAGCGATGCGAAAATAAGACGAGCCATGGTACAATAAAGCGATAAATTTCCAGAAGGTGGGTGATTCTGACTCATCCATTCGGTCTTAAAATCAACTTACCTGAAATTTCCACGCTGGTTTCAAGCCGAATGCGAACCAAGCAATGAACCAAACACAAAGCAGGGCGATCCCGGAGAAGGGGGAAGCCAACAGCAGACTGCATCTGGTGGCGCGGTAAATCTGGAAGCAGTCCCAAATAAGTGGAAATTTGATGGCCAATACACACAAACCGCCAACCAATGCCCACATGTGAGGAGCGTATGTAAACAAACAGCACCGGGTGGCCGGATGTAACGTATCCGCTCCAAGGGAGTAGGATGGTGATTTGCGGCCCAGGAACGATGTCCCGTTGAAACAGGGAATGAATTTGCCGCTTCCATTCATCCCCGACTGGCCAGATTCCGAAGGGTTGTAAACCGGTCCGGGGCCATTTTGCAAAGCTCCGTTGTGCCTTTCGGCCGGGTTAGAATTGGGCGCATGTGCACCACCGTGTATCCCCGTGGTATCTATCAAGTACAATCGGTAGGCAACCAAATTATCCAGGAACTGGTGATAGCCGTACTCAAAAACTGCCAAGAATAGGAACAAGAAGAGTAGCGTTGACAGCGTGGACAGAAATAAAGGGCCAAAATTTGCGAGAGCTGACGGCGAGGGAGGTTGGTCAGTATCGGGGTATGGTTCTTCAGCAACCGATCTCCCGAAGGCCTCTCTAGCAAAGGGCGACACAATTGGGCTCCTTGGAGCACTGAGAAGTCGGAACGATGGGATATGAGGGAGTGAATGTGCATTCCAAGCCAATTTGACCAACACGGATGCTGCGGAGTACTCAATCAGCGCATGCACACCGGTCAGAAAGATTAGCAGTGAAAATAAGAAGGAAAATGATCTGCTCGTGTACCAGAAGACGCTTGGATAACGTAGCACCAAAAGTACAAAGACGAGAGCAAGGTTGAAGAATTCTGGCGATATGGCCCTCAAGTCTTCCCAGCTTGAAGAGTCAATTACTTTTGCTGACACAGCCTCCGAGTTGGCCATGAAGTGTGCAGCTGGCGGATCGTTCGACTTCATCTCTCCGATCGATGAACATCCGAAAACGAAGTCCATATCTGATCGCCACAGCCATCCTGTGAGGTGAGATGAAAGAGAGATAGAAAACGCATAAAACGATTTGTCTCCTTCGATGGCAGGCGCTAGATGGGTGGGTTAAGCGGAACCTTAGTGCCTTCGGTTTCCCGTGTGCTTACAACATCGTTCAAATGTTCAGAAAAACCACACCAGTCGTAAAATAAAGAGAAAGAGAACGTTTAATTAATGAAAACGTATCGTGCAAACCGAGAAAGATTTGACAAAACTCGACTTCACCCGTTCAAAACATATACCGACCTAGTGGAAAGAGGATCAGTATGGCAACGTAATTATGGTTGTTAGATGGACCCAGGCATGTGAAGGAACGCATATGTGCCAGCTATCGAAGTGATCTGGATGGGGTACGGTATGATTATGCGGTATAAACTGACATGTACCAAACCCTTCTGTGTTAGAGAAGAGAGCGTCGAGCACTCCATGGAATGTAGAAGGCAGATCGTTCTCTAAGGTGACTAACGACGGTGTCGAAAATAGTCGGTTGACCATTTGATGTGCTATCCTGTTGTATGCATCGCTCAGTCACCAAGGCGATGCAGCAAACTAGATCTGGAGCAAAGGTGATCGGGACCGAACAGAAGACTTGCATTGTCTTCTGCATAACCCAGTCATCATCCAGTTGCAGTTGCACGGAAAAAGGCGACCACTGAGCGACATTCTACATCTTAAGCCAGCGCGATGAAATCTCTCTGTCGTCGGTTTTCACTGTGACCTAGAAGGAAAACGGTTTCAACACACCAGAGGATAGTGCATGCCTCCACTGCTAGTGGGCTCTGAAAAGGTAGAGGCGGTGTCCAGCACGCCTTCACTTGGCTGACGGCACAACATAAACCACACAACTCAGATATGATATATTTGAGCAGTAGTTAAACGCAGAAATGGAAAGAAGATTTCCACGTGCAGTATATTGCAAGTGCATTTTAGAAATTCGATTAGTCATGCGAAACTTCTGTGGATGCAATGGACATTCGCATCGTAACGACATCCCAGGAAATGGAGGGCGGTAAGGACCGAGTCCAAGGTCAATAGGGATTGCAGTCAGACAACTCCTTACCAAGTTGCTTTACTCATAACAGATTGCCACATCTTTTGGAAGCCGGCCACCATGACCATCATCCGAGGATAGAAGTTCATAATTGCACCCGAACCGTTAGTTAATAGTTTGTTTGGCTCCACGTTCTCTCAGGAGAAGTGGAATAATTCTAGTAATCGAGCGGAAAGAATATCGCGAGAGATAGCTAACTGCGTGGCTAGAGAAATTAGCTTTACCGCACACACTTGTGGATGATTTTCTAATGCTAGGTAAGGTATTGCGGCATGTCAGATTGGCAAGGCTTTAGCGCAAACTGGGCCAAACAGAATCGTAGTAAAGGTGGAACGTGTACGAAATGAATAATGTTTCGTGTAATCAAGCTAGCATACTGGCTATGGCTTTTCACTTGCAAGAAGCAGAGCAGCCAGTCAACGCTGAAGAAACTCTCCCATGCCCACTCGATCCGTCGAAATCTATTGGTTTGACTAAAACAAACCAACTGTCCATCGTCTGGCAAGATGCATTTTGGTTGAAATCCCGTGGGCTAACTTAGTGGTGCAGAGTGTGGAAGTGCTTTTCCTGTTAGCGTGACCCCAGCACAGAGTCAGGAAGGCGTTTATACAATTGAGGACGATTTTATTCACCTCAGAGGTCACAGACGCACGGTCGTTCCGGGGGGGGGGGGGGTGGATTTCAGACAAACCAAAGAGGTGGTTCATATGTCGCTGGGTTTGCACGCCTGTTCGGGTAGCTACCTGAAATGTGACTGGCACAATCTGGTGAAGTTAACTGACATCTTAAGCAGCGCGGTTGGTTGTCTTCTGAAGACAGTGGCAACTGATAGCCAAGTAGATGGAGCCTTCACGTCAGCCCCAAATGTGAGTTTTGTCTGCGGTTCGCGCTTATGCCCACCCATCAAAAACGTGCTATCGTTCACTCCCCAGGCTGTCTAGGCGACGGCTCTTTACAAATGGGATAAAGGGACATTCGAAATCACTGCAAATGCGCTTTAAAAATTAAATTAGCTCGTTTGACACAGTTGCGTGAAAACTGTCTGTGTGCGCTCAAACAAAAATAGAGAAGAGGAACGATTCGAATGAACAGCCAGGGGAACCAAGTGGAATGTGGGCGAACACAGATAGAATAAATAGGAGTGAATGAAAAGTCGAAATGGTAAAGCCGGTCTCCACATTTCAGGCAGTGGTTTGTATCGAAATTGTACAAATTGGTGCTTACACCGATAGGTAACAACAAAGTCCGCACGCGTGCAATAAATGGAGTACCTATAGGGTTGTCTTGAATGGTGCTGACATAAGTGGTGTTCGCCCAGCGTGCGTCATGAGGCTACATCGGTGTGTGGTTAAGACGTCCCAATTCCATGGCTTAAATCTCATCTGAAACCTACCAACGCATACGTCAAAATGGCAGCTCCTAGCTCAATTGCTAAGCCACGGCTTTTACAGCGGATCTTGACCCCACGATCTTTTTGGGACTGAATAGATAAAACAACTGTTACTGTTTATCAGCAACAAACAGGCCGTAATAAATGCAGTCACAGGGACTTTCGCCTGCAAGTGCTCAAACTACCGTGGACTGGGTGGATTTAGTGGTCATCTAAAGAGTGAAAATCCCTACATCGGATAAGACAAGAGGAATTCATCACAAGTCTGACAAAACGAAACACAAGAAGATCAATGGCTCACGGCCAGCTGCTAACCAGCTGTGTCCTGCATCAAATGCAAATCGCTACTACATTGAGCGAATACATATAGTGAAAGGTGGGACGCGAAAGACTGGTCATGTTTTGAGTTCAGCAGCATGGTCTACCAATAGGATCACGGTTACAGATTGTGTACTGGCCCCAACAGCTGCTCATGTGTAGCGAGCGCCGGTATACCGCCAATCGATCGATGATGTAACAGAGATGGTAAGCAAAAGGTCTGGTGGGATAAGCTGCGCTTCACTAACGCAGAGTAAGAGAGTAGTCTATAGGGACCAGCAACCGATATTCGTGTTTGGTTAGAGTTGATAGATTGTGTTATGAGATAAAATAAATTCTTCCGCGCACTAATGACCAATGGGAAATCTATCTGTTTAGCACAACATCCATTTTCGACTTAGTTCAAGTACCCAAACAAAGCAGAATATGTGTACCAAGTGTGACAAACTTAAACAAGAGATAAGTAATAGTAAACTGTGGACCAGGCGTTTATGTTTCACCCACATAATATGGATTGCACACCACCGAAGCATCTCAAATGGCATGGCACGCTGGGTAATCGACTTATTTGACAATTAAGGAGTCAGCTTTTAACTAACAAAGTCCGCTGACTATTCTGTAGGTCTCGAAATACAAATGACGAACGTTCAGACAGGCTGAGAGATGCAGGGCGGACTCGGATGATGAACCGCATTCAGCACCTCTTGTACAGGTGAGTCCGTGTAATTGCATGCGTCTCAATTGTATGCTCAATAGCTATCATGCTTTTTGAGGAATTATAGTGTAGGTTGGGCCCTATGCCCCTAATTTTGACAACTGCATGTGCGTTCCAGATTGACTTTCTAACCGATCGATTTTGTGGCGCTCCTAGTCGGTCGGTGGTCGAGTGCATAAACCGTCTGCTTTGTAATCCCTCGGGTCACCCCTTCGAATCTGCGTATATCCGGGTGGTCTTGTAGCATGCTTTGCCTGCGCTCGACCGTGGGGGATCCTGCGGCGGCAAACAGTCGATACAACATGCCGACATTGTGAATGCAGTTGTAGTACACGCTGCAAAAGCTTCTCGGCTATTGCAAGAAAGACGGCGTACGGTTGACAGACCCATTTCCGCCCAGTATAAGTCAGTGGCAGCGTGTTGCTCGGAAGAGGGTAAATAGGGGGTTGTCAGAGCATAATGGTTCCTTGACCAAACCCGCAGTTACAGTGTTTTATTAATCTGATTCGGAGTTAGGGGCGGCTGCACTCAGGTGCTGACGTACACCGATACTCTGAATTGCTAACGGTCCAATAGCGCAAATTGCTTTGCTGCCAAGGCTGAGCTGGGACACAGAGACGAGACATGTATGCTTACGATCGCAGGGCACACTGAGCCGCTCGGCTTTGTGAGGCGAACGTTATCCAGACACCACAGCCGCAATGAATACATCGTGCCTCGACCGCATAGCAAGACCAAGGGAACGCACGCCGTTCAACTGTGAGCACTGGACGTGAGCCGGAGACCACATAGCCGCACTGAACGTGTCATGCTTCCATCGATCGGTAGTCAGCCTTTACCCAGGTGAAAAGGCAGCACAGGGTTCCCTGTGAAGTGGGTCACTGTGCTAGCAACTGAGAAAAACAGCCTAGCCGTATGTGATGGCCGGTCGATGGACGCCGTATTGCTATCGCCACAAAAGCTGCTATCGCCTCATGACTGGCTTCCAACAAACCCATATGCTTTAATTAGGCTGCTTTCGCTGTTAAATGGAATCATACTGCCGGAAGCACATTGTAAGGTTACCGTGTTGCTCGCTTTAGCGTTGCGATCGCGTGTGTGTTACAGCTGACAATTCGCCCTTCATGGATGCATAAAAACGATTTCATGACTTGACTTGACGTGCTCTTAGATTTCAGTCTGTCCCGACACACTGGTGGCACCATTAGACAGCACACCAATTTAGTCATGAATGCAATTATTGCCCTCACAGACAATTGCTAGTTGTACAAATTGATCAGGCCTTCGCTGGTGTTTATCGTGTATAATGGTGAATATACATGTATTCATTTGTTTACTTATATTTACAGGAAGTGTGTGAATGTCAGTAAATATCTATGAACAATGAACAATGAACAATGATTTATCACGGGATAAAAGCAAGTGCTTGACACGTCCCGTAGGATGGTTGAGGTGAATATGATAAAATCAAAATATGTCTGGGTCATCTATCGAACGTCTACCGATATGAATA